TTCTTTCCTTCTTTCCTTCTTTCCTTCTTTCCTTCTTTCCTTCTTTCCTTCTTTTTTCTCTCTTTTTTTTTTTTTTTTTTTTTTTTTCAGTTGTTCTTCTTTCTTACTCCAAAACAATTGCTCAGAATGAACAGGTAAATGAGGATAGGAAATCCGCAGAAACTGTTTCTGTTTTCAGAGCTTAACCATCTGCCAGTACCAATGCTCAGTATTAGTAGTGGTAATTAGGTGAGTATATTTGCTGTATTTATACAGCAAAGGAGATCTGTTGGCCCCTTTTCTTGTCTGTTGTACAGATGTTTAGTGTATCTTCCCCATGTGTTTAAAAAGAAAAATAAAAGTATTAAAACCACACTGATACAAATTCAAATAAGGGAACCGTTTCGTGTACAATTGTTACTGGTTGCTAATGCTATCTAAGCGCAGAATATGGGTGCTCTCCAGATCATAAGGATTAAAAACTGTTTTGGAGTACTTAAAGTGCAGTGATATACTGAGATTCTGTGATGTGTCCCTTCATAAAAAATAATGCCATGTGAATTCAGGGATACATTTGATCACAGTTTAATGAGTCTGTGACTTTGTTCAAAGTTAGCTTTTTGGTACAGTCTGGAACAGCTTGAAAACAATCATTTCTGCAGTTCTTTGGGTCAGAATTATTCTATTAAATTTTTATGGTTCCATTGGGGCAGCTTCTTGCTTTCTGCATAGTTCATTTTTTAAGTATGTATTGCTCGCTGTATCAGTTGAGAAATCAGCTTATAGATACAATGTGGGATAGAGCAAGTGTGGGCGAGAGCAACTCGGGTCACAGTTTCCCTGTTCTGTAGGGTGGGCAGCAACTAAAGTTTCTGTGAGTGACATGCTGAGGGCAGTAATTATGGATGGTTCAGACAAGTGAAAGCTACTGTCATGATAGTTTCTGTAATGAAATAATTAGTTCTGTTTAAAGATTGCTGCTAAGAAGATAACCTCCCTTCTTTACAAGCTTTCCATGGGAGCCATTCTGTCCGTTGCGGTAATCTCTTGAGCAGCTGGCAGAACATCTTACAAGTTATCGAGATCTAAAGATAATTCAGAAGTCACTGGCATGGATCTATATTTCATAAAAATCAGAGCCCCGTGTACTCCTCCCTGTGCATGCAACAAAAGCATGCAATTGCTGTCTGTAATCAGATTGTCTAGCTTGGAAATGAGCTAGTGACCCAAGTATGTACACTGGCTACTTTTACCATGTCAGTCTGTGGCTGTGAAAAAGCTGGCAGCACAGGGTTGAGCTAGCAATCAAAGTAAGATATTTTTCTCATCAAGAAAGGCAAGTTAAAAATAACACATAATATCAAAATAATTAGGTTTAAAAGACAGTAGAGGAGCCAACTATTTTGCAGATGTAAATGGACACCAATCAATTGAAATCACTTCTGATTTATACCCAGTGGATACCTGGAATAAATATTGAACCTGAAACCACAGAAGGGATTCTCTGACTGCTGGCAAATGGAACAGAAAGAGTTTTGCAAAAATGATATCTCATGAATGTTTTCCTCACATAGATGGAGATTGCTGCCTGCAGTGAGTGTGTGCTTGTGTGTGTGCATGTACACATGAATACTTATTTTAAAGACATTGTTTTATAGGTTGAACAATAATTTTCTCCCTTACTGAGCATAAAGTAAGCTATAATCTTAGGGAATGCCAAGAATGTTATGTTTAAAGGTATGGTAGAAGCAGCTTTTGGCAGATTCAAAGTGGTGGAATAAGTGGTAATTGGAGGAACAAGATCGGTTTATACAGTAAGGTTTGACTTTCTTTGGATTTGCTTTTGGACCTGTAAAAACCTCTGAGACAGATTTTTCACCTGAGAAACCCAGTGTGACAGGCCAGTCCTGCAAGTGATGTCAAGGAGGCTGAATACAGTGAAGATTCACAAGGTGGCTGTAAGCAGTTGGTCAGCCTGGATGGTGCTCTGCCCTAGCAGATAGAAATTATCCCTGCCTGTTGCTGTAGGAGTCCAATGATCTCCAGATCTTCTTATTATTATCATTGTTGTTTTTGTTGGTGGTGCTCCAGCATGGGTTGTTTCCTCAGCAGTATATCTTGTCCTGACTTAATTTCAGAGTGGTTTGGCTTGTAAATTGAGGTCAACTTTGCACTGGATTCCTTAACTTAGTCTAAGGAAATCTGCCGAAAAATTAAATTTTCCTTCAAAACCTTCTGTCCCTTTTCCATTTTATGGAACAGTTTAAAGTATAACTGTCTCTGTTTTTGTAGACATATTATGTTCAAATATCAACCTTAGACTCCAAATTTGTAGTGTCTTTTACACCATAGGGTGCTTAGCATGTCAAATGATTAAATCAGAACAATATTGTTTGTTTCTGGACATTATATAGAGAGGTGCCCAAATCAAGTAGTGCTTTTGTATCAACTGCAAGATGTTATGTCTCCAAATTATCTGTTTTGATACCTTGTCTACTAAATGACAGCATCCTACAAATCTGAGAAAGATACTGTTATAATCCTTCAATTAAGGTAGATATGCTTCATATAATACTTTCTCGTATCAAGTCTTTAATCATTGCTAAGAGAGGTACATCCAGATATGTTTCTGGTTCAAAGAAAAACTGAATTTCAGGAAAGTTTCCATATCCAGAAAGTGGATATGTGAGGAACAAAAAAAACCCCTTCTTATAGATGGTGATATTTAAAGGATAATTACAACCTCCTTTGACGGGGAACAGTATTACTAGCAATGGAAGTGATGAAAACAGGGAAGAATTTCCAATGCTGAAGTGCTGCCAACATCAAATATGTCAGAAACCTACAAAAGAAGGGAGCTAGGGAAAGTAAACAACACTCCTAAATTACATGGACTCGAATCAGATATTCAAGTTGAGCACCAATTTGGTGTAAGCCAAATAGGTTTCCTTACTTTTGTCTACTTCTCTTCCATACGGTAGCTTTCTAACTACCAGTTTTGCTAGTGAATCATAAAGTACTGAATGAAAGTCTAATAGTCTTAGTGATTTTCAGTAGCATAGAACTAGTTATGTGTTTTATTTTGATAGCTGATTGAAAGATGTGCTGACAACTCAGTAGAAAATGTATTATATTTAAAGTTATAAACTAAAACAGCTGTTATTCTCTGCGCCTTATGATCCATGTAGTCTCTGCACACGATGATACAAATAACATGCAAAGTAAAGAAATGCAGACAATTATTTTCCTCTAGCTCTGAATTAAGATCTTTTCTGCCATAAAGGAAAAATAGCAGGCACTGCAGAATTGAGCTGTTTTTTTCCTGTTATCTCTTGCATTGCCTTGTGGTATTTAATGTGCTCAGAACTACTGAAGAGTTGAATAAATTCCAAGTCTGCACGAGCTCAAATCTGTAAATAATTTTCTCTCATTAATTTTGGGGGCAAAGGGCAGGCCTACAGGCCCTTTCTTGGAGGCCCTTGCTAACTCTGCCCAGCTCCTCACCATCTAGCTTTCCCTCTCTCAATTTCTCTCCCACATGAACTTGTGC